ATGAATGTGGATTCGCTTGACGTTCCACATGGTTCGTGCATTAATGCTGTTAGTCATCCGATGCTCAACTCGCCACGTGCCTTTCTCGATTGGCTTCCCGCAGATCCCACACGCGGCTCGGCTCGTGGGAGCTCTCCCGTATCCGATCAGGCCAGCCAACCCCCATGGATGAGCCTCCTCACCATGAGGGCCGACAGGGGGTGGTGGCAAAGGCGGCGGCGGCGGCTCATCAAGGCCTGGGCCATCGGACTCAGGCTCAGGCATCAAATCCCCCTCATCACTGGATGTGCATTCTGGAATGATAGACTCACCTCCCAAGTCAGACGCGTCGGACTCTGCCCCAAACTCGCCGTCGGCCGCCTCCAGCCCTCCGCATCCAGGAAGCCCGTGGGGATGTTCAGGTCCAGGCGGTGGTGGCGCTGGCCCATCAGGTCCGTCAAAACTCAGCCCGAACGGCATCCAAGGTTTGGGGTCGCCTGTTTTTCGTTTCTTAGCTTTTTGTTGCGTGACTAAGTCCAGGTCCAGGGTAGACCACTCATCCAAGAAATAAGCAAACTCGATATTGTTCTCACGAGGAGCCCTGACCAGCCTACTTATAACAAGCCTTGTTACACGAAGCGGGTGACCACCGTTATTCCCTCGAGCCTCTATCAGAAATTCCTTCAGAAGGAGATGCGACGGCATAGAAATGATTTTCCCTTGGGCGTGTCTCTCCAACCCCCAGCTGCCACTTGGAAACACCTTCACTCTGGCAACGCACAAAAAGTCCCCGACGCCATACTTGAACGTGAGGAGAACGTTTGACTCAACACCAGCTGCGCTAAACTGCAAATGGAGGGGCAACGACGTGTGCTTGACGCCAAGGGCCGAAAGGTGCATATACAAGTTTCGGGTGCCTACCAGGCGCACGAAGCAACTGACTCCCTGGAACATGTCCCGCTTCCCTCCTCTATCTCTCTCTCGCTCTCTCTCCCCCCCGCTGGGTTTTAAGTCAACGCCGCCGCCCTCCTGGAAGTGGGATATGTGCCACACTATTCGAGAACAGTTAATGGGGTCGGGCAGTCATGCTGCCCCTCCCCGTTCCTCCTCCCCACCCCGCCTTGACATCGATTTTGGCACATGCCCTGGTGGTGCGCAGTGCGGCACCGTCCGAACCCAAGGACCTCAACGACCACAACAACTTAAACTTGGCGGGGTGGGGAGCGAGAAAGAGAGAGAGAAGAAGCGGGCACATTGCTAGGGAGACAAGTTGTTTCCGCTCCGTTATTTGACCTGTGCGCACGTACTCGTAGTAATAATCTGTGGGGCACAAGCCAGATTGACAGCACACGCATTCGGAGGCGACTGTGACACCGTTAGGGTTTGGCTCTGGATCGAATTCAAACAAACGACGGACCTCTTCTGCAATGGCTTGGTCGGTGTCGGAGACATTGACCAGACTCGGCTTCAAGCCGATGCCAGGGCAGTCTATCTGAGCGCCAGCTCGCCAGTACCTGGGGGTCGCAATGGGGACTAAATATGAGCCCGCTCGATGGGCACGGTTGCCCACCCACCTGCTTGCACAGCCTAGCATTGCGTGCGCCACCCCCAAAAAAAAACGGTGGAGGAGATGCGGGGGGGTAGATGTTTGCGGAGGGTAATGCAGGCCCCAGGTGGAGAAAGACGATGCTGTTTGTTTTGACGCCCAAGCTTAGATTGGAAGGGGTGGGTGCCCCCATCGCGCGCCCTCTGTCGAAGGAGCATGCGGAAGCGGAAGTGGAGTCGGGAGGAGGATGAGGATGGAGAAGGGAGCGTGTTGCTGCGCAGCCGATGGGCCACCCTAGCGGCCTGGCGATAGATCGCAGCATAACGTCCTGAACTAAAAAGTCATGCAACTCGAACGTAGCCCCGCGACCCTCGCGGGTGGCGGCGGCGAGGCGCAGAGCCCATGGATGGAGGATGGAGGCCCAATGCTTTGATCAACGCGCAGCTTGCTGACGGGTGGGTGGGTGGGTGGTGGGTGGGTGGTGGGTGGGTGGTGGGTGGGTGGTGGGTGGGTGGTGGGTGGGTGGTGGGTGGGCGATGGGTGGGTAGGTGGTGGGTGGGTGGTGGGTGGGCGGTGGGTGGGTGGGTGGCGGGTGGGTGGGCGATGGGTGGTGGGTGGGTGGTGGGTGGGTGGTTGGTGGGCGGTGGGTGGATAGTGGGCGGTGGGTGGTGGCAGCTGGGTGTTGGGCGGGTGGTGGGTGGGCGGTGGGCGGGTGGTGGGTGGGCGGTTTGTTTGCGGGGCTGTGGTCGGGTAGGCGGAGATGGGGGGCTCCAAGGATGTGGAGGCCCCAAGGAGGATGACGAAGGGGAGTCAGGGGGAGAAGCAGGGAGAGCATGAGGAGGACGAGGAAGAGAGAGATGAGAAGGACACTTGCATCGCCCTCACTCCCACCCCAAACCCCCAACCCCCACGGGAAACATCTTCGGTGACGGCCGCTCGAGGCCCAGAATGGACCAGCCTGGCTGTCGGGAGAAGGCCAGCCGCTCAGCCCGCCATCGGAAGGCCCCTCAGGGCCCTCCTGACACCCGTCCCCACCACCCCTCGGCCCAAGTGCCCCGATGTCATCCAAGCGGTTTGAACTTGAACCAGAAACGCGTGATGGTTTCTGAGACCTGGGGGCGCATGCGAATTATCAACCTCGGCCAACGTAGACCGATGAAAAAAAAGCTTTACAGGGCATTAGCTCACGTAGCTCAGCAATATTTCGAAACAACGGGCCACGGGCACTTGTGATCCCCAATCGAACTGATGGCACTCGATGCTCGGCGCCTCTTGATGCGGTGTCGGACGAGCTCGTCCTCGTAGGCGAGGGGGGCGAGGGGGTTCATCTGGGCATGGATTTCCTTGTTGTTCCTCGCATCGGCCATCTGATCATACACAGCACGAGCAAGTGGATCTGATCTGATTTCCCGCCAAAGTCTCCCAAGCCTTTGCATGTCCTGCGTGTGTTCTATGCTATGGGGCCGAAGGTGCGGTGCCTTGTTGAGGGAACGGAACATCGACCACGCTGAAATGTTCCTGACCTTGCCCTCTCTGGCAACAAGCTTATCATTGGCAATCCGTCGAAAACCCTTGCGCCCACTAAGCCGCTTGATAGCGGTCGTAATCTGGAGGGGCTTGATGCCATGGCGCTTGCAGACGTCACTTTTGATAGCGGCCATCTTGGCAAAGAGCTTCGCCCTAACGAACTTCCTGTAAGTGCGCACTGACAATGCAAACGGCGAGACTGTGCGACCTCGCTTTCGCTTTATCTCCTGTCCCAGCAAATGTTTTCGCTCCTCGTTCAAAGAAGTAAGGGGCAGTGACGCCAAGCAGTTGAAGAGAAATCGATGCGCCTGTCGAGATCGAGGCCCACCCAGTTTGCCAACCCATGGAACTGAAAACGAAACGTCAACACACGACGCGCAAGCTCGGAATCTGCCACGAAGATCGCCAACAAGGGTTGCTATGCCATCCTCGCTGTACTCGTTTACACACGCTCGGAGAATATCGAACCTCGGCTGCTGAAACCTGAACTCCGTGCGAAAGTATGCAGAACCAGAAGCAGACAAAAGCCTCAGTGATGCGCTGAAGAACTGCTCATCGGTCCAACCTGCATCATGCCAACCACTAGCCCCACTGTCAAACAACAAGTCTGCACAACCGCGCTGCAAAGCCAAGGAGTTGGCGCCGTCCAAGAACATTCGAACACTGTCACGGGAATCTCGCGCTGCAAGTTCAAGTTCGGCCACTTGGTCTAGAAGCTCGTCATCTGGGCGCTCTGGCGACTGGTACTCCTGGAGGCTCACGAACTTCTGCCTGGCCGCATCCGCCTTGAACAACCGATTCAAGTAAACCTGGAATGGAGCATTGCAAACAACAGCCATGTGCAGCGATTTGGTCTCGCGGTCGCGATCCACAAAGGTGGTGAGCTTATTCGCCCTGATGCTGTTGTTAGCCGAATGGTTGACGTCGCCCTGTGCCGCTGCAGCCTGCGCCGCAGCCTCCGCCTGCTCCAGGGACTCTTTGTCGAACATCTGGTGTAAGCACCGAGGTAAAATGTTGAAGAGAAGCATGCCTCGCAACATGAAGCTACTTGCATGCTCGAAACCTTTGAACCGATACATCAAACAGACAGGACAGCCAGCAGAAAACAACATACCGAATGCTTTCTTGACCATCGTTTTGAAGTGCCGTCGGCCGCCGCAGGTGCACTCTGGATAATGTCTGTGCACAATGTCATCGGCATCTGGGTCTGAATTCAAAACCATGACGATAAAATCAACATCTACATGCTCTAAGTCACGAGCGGGCGTGGTAAGCTGAATGATCTTTCGAGTCTTAAGTTTCCAGCGCCTCACGTCATCCGACTCCTCTGGCACCTCCATGAACACAGCCTTGCTCGCAATACCGTCAACTGCGCCCTGGAAGCGGTCACGAAAACGAGATGTTTGCCAGAGGTGCCCAGCCCGTGTCATGGCCGTGATCGGATCGGATTGGTGGTCAAAGTTCGGCTTCATCGACAAAACAAGCTGGTGCGCGAAACACATGGTCCCAAACACCGTGAAGTCATCAGGCGTGTCCCTGGATAGAACGGATGCTCGTTCAACCGATCCTTGCAACAGCCCATTGCACACGTGGGCGTCTTTCGAAAAAAAAAAAAAAAAAAAGTTTCTCAGCAATCGCACGGAACGCTGGACCACAAACATCGTGCTTGTCTATGTTGACACCCCTGCTTGGGAAAACGCTCCACCTCTTCCACCTGTTGCATATCGTTCCAAAATTCCCCCTCGGGAGGGGCACTGCTGGCGTTGCTACCTCGCACGCCCGAATCGGGAAACCGTCGGGCATCAGCGGGATGACGTGAAGCGTCTGCGACAAATTCAAAACAGCCCGTCGTGTATTCATACCACGTCGTCGGCAATTCTTGTCAACCTGCTGGTTGGGGGCGCCCTCCTCATGGCCAGGCTGCTGACCAGGTTGTGGCGGCGGTGACCTGACCCACATCTCGGCGTCATCCATCGCGGCCGTGATGAGGAGGCCGCTCTGGTCAGACGGGGTCGCCAGCAGGAAGTCCCGAAGGCCTGCCGCCTGAGACTGCACGTGAGAAACTGTACATCGGAACGAATCCCTCTTGTCCAACTTGCGGGTGTCCACGACGATCTTCAAACCCGCTGCTTCGATCTCTGATGTTCTGAGCAGCGCATCCTGGAAAACTCTCATGCGCCACCTCGCAAGCGTCGGCGCCGCTGCCATCAAACCTCAAACTCCCACCTCCGAGCCAGAGGCGCCTGCCTGTGTGTGTTGTTTGGCGCGCGTGGCTCACAGGGGGTTGAGGTTGAGGTTTGATGGCACCTGGCGCCGTTGCAAGAGAGGTGGCGTCGAGAGTCACCCACGTCCTTGGCGTCCACTGCGGCGCACCCGAAGCACGCGGTCGCCACCTCCCTGGCGAACGTGGCGCCCCTGGCGGTCCGAGCTAGGCAGCTGGACCGCCAGGATATGTGCTTGAACACCCCAGCTCTGATCCTGGCCTTGTGGGTCGCGCTGAGGCGCCGCCCGCGGCCGCGGCCAGCCCCTGCTGGAACGGCTGCTGGAGCGGCGCCCCTGCCGCGCCCTCGCCCTCGCCCGCGGCCGCGGCCGCGCCTGCCAGGCGCTGGGGGCGGAGCTGCGGCTGGAGGCGCCGCAGGAGCTGCGGCTGGCGGCGGGGCTGCGGCCGGCGGCGGAGCGCCACCTCCTCCGTCTGCTCCAGCCGCGGGCCCCTGCTCCAGCAGCGCCCGCCACATGCAAGCGTGGCCCCCTCGGCGGGGGCACCAGAAGCCAAAATGGCTGTATACGGAGGGGCGGAGTGGAGGGGTCGGTACGGAGGAGGATGGACATCACATCACAAGACAAGTTAACGCGCCCACATTTTGCAAACAGATCGAAGGGTTGATTGCACTGCGCCAGTACCAGCGTTGGAAGGGGTGCTTACGAGACGGAGTATGAGGACCACAGGGGCCAGAGCAGGAAGCGGATGAGGAGCAGCGGCAGTGGCAGCAGAGGGGGGGGATAGTTGAAGCAGGAAGCGCAAGCAACAAAGGTGGGTCGCAACACTAGCAGGGCCAAGGGGACACACCAGAGAGGCTACATTGAGATGATCGGGGCTCTCTTCCGACGGACTGCGCTCTCCCGCGGGGCGGGGAGTGGGAGTGGGAACGGGCCACGTTGTGCAACATTTCGGGGTCAATTCGTTTGTTGTTCGGGTTCCGACGTTGATTTGTTTGGGGCCCCGCTCTTTGATTGACGCCCTAAAGTTGTTTGCGAACTTATCTTGGGTTTCCCCTTTATTCCCCGCCCCCCTTCCCCAAGGTCGCCTCCCAAAGCTCTCCCCCATGACGTGGCAGGAACGGGTGGCGGGGCGGGCAGGTTGTGTTTCCGCTGGCCCCATTCGGTAAGCATTTGCGCGTTTGGGGGTTGGGGGCGTTGGATGCACATCGCCGAAAGCACGAAATCTTTCCGCACACATGAAATCTAATAATACCATGAGGGCCTCCCTGTCTCGTTGCACCATACGGGCGACGCCGTGCGCGCGCGCTTTGCCAAACGACCTTGCTGCAGTTGCGAATTGCACAGATGCTATGTTGAAAGAACGGCGCCTAACCCATCTCGAGTTGACCACTTTGGAGGTGCAAAGAAATTGTCCTAACAAGGTCGTCGAAAAGGGATAACGCTGGCCCCTCCTAAACCGTGATTTACCATTATGTGGGATTGCCTCATCCAAAGCGGCATCCAGGGCTGCGGAGGGGGCCGCTTGGTGGGCCGCTGCGGCGGCCTCTGCTGCGGCGGGGGTTGCGCGGCTAGCCTCTGCGGAGACTGCGGCCGGCATGCAGCGCACCTGTCGGCGAGCGCCGGCGGGCTGGCCTGGGCGGCTGCCCGACACCATCGGCGCGAAGTTCTAAACGCGGACGTCGACCTGCGCGCCCTCCGGGCGTAGAACTCCGGCTTGTCCGCGAACGGCCCCCACGAGAAGCGGTAGCCGTGCCGAGCGCAGCGACGTCCCAGCGAGAGTGCCGGAATTGCGTCTGGCAGCTCGATCGCCTCGGCATCCTCACTGAGTCCCCAGGCCCGCGGTCACGGTGGCCTCGGGCGCGAGCACGCCATTCGCCGCGCCTAACAAGCAAAGGTCGTCGCGCTGGCGGCGGACACCCGCGGCCCCTAGAGGAACAAGGTCGTTCCCAGTCCCCGACTGAGTCCAAAGCAAACTCGCCGCGGACGTCGTTGGAATCGACGGCATGGGCGGCGCGGCAGGCGGCGGCCGGAACCTTCGCCTCGCCAGGCCCAACGTGTTTGAACGCGCAGCTCTCGCCGTTGGCGCACCCGCCCGTGGGCCAGAAGCGGCGCGCTGGCCGGTCATCTTGCTTGGCGCTGCGCCCCACTGCAGCGCGGCCTGGGGCCGCGATGGCGTGGCCATGTCAAAGTGCCGCGGCTGCGCGAGGACGCCGCCCGAAGTGACGAAGCGCCCTGTCAGACGCCCAGCTGCGGCAGCGGCGGCAGCGGCGGCTCGGGGGCCGCTGGCTGGAGCTGCTGCGGCTGCGCGCGCCGCTCCTCGGCAAGGAATGCGATGTGCTTCCAGTTCTCAACCTCCTGCTCGAAGATGTCGACGCGCTACTGCAGCGCAGTCTGCACCTCGAGCTGCTCGCCGCGCTGAGCCTCGGCTGTGCCTGCGAGGCCGTTGGCCCACTGCTGGGCGCGGTCTCTCAGCGCGTGCGCACGCTGCTCGGACTCCGCGAGCCGGGCGTGGAGCACCGTGACCTGCGCCTCCAGCCCCGCCGCGCGGTCTGCCCGGAGTTTCATCTGCTCGCGCTGGGCTTCGAGGTTCGAAATATGCGCCTCGCACTGGCGCAGCTGCAGCATCGCGCGGGCCTCGGAGCTAGCGAAGGCCTGCTTCGTGGAGGATTCGAGCTGCACCGCTGCGGCGGCGTGCTGCTGAGCCTCAGCGGCCTGCGCCTGCGACAGCAGCTCAGCCCTGGAAGTCGCGGCCTCCACCTCTGCCGCTGCGGCCAGGCGCGAAGAAGCAGCAGAAACCACGGCACTGAGCTCAACACACTGCGCCTCCAGGTTCTGGAGCGCTTCCGCGTGGATTGCATTGCACTCCTCGCGGCGCCTCTGGTCAGCGGCGGCGTACGCGGCTGACTCCGCGGCCAGGACGCCGGCGAGCTGCTGGCGGTCCTTCGCAATCAGACTCTGCTCCGCCGCACGGAGCTCGAGCGAGCTTGCGGGGGTGACGTCAGCTTGTGGTTATGCAAGAACGAGGGTCGCGCGATTTAAAAAATGGCCCCCCTGCTCGGGCGAACCGCGGGGGGGGGGGGGCGCCCGCCAAATAGAAACACACGGCGGCGGCCCCGGTGGTCAGCGCCGACGCCTGGCTGCCAGCGAAAAGGCGACAAGCGCAACGCAAGCGGCGCCGCTTCAGCGGAGGGGGACAGCAGCGCCGCCGCTACAGCTGGGCGTTTGGGCTAAAATGGCGACAGACAACAGAGAAAGAGGTGGCGGGGGGAAGAAGCGTTACAGCTCGCGGGCGGTGCCGACATGGCTGCAAACACGAAGAAAAGGGGGGAATGAACGGCAGATGCACGCGGAAAAGCCTCCTCCTGTTCCTCTTTCGCCCCTCCGCCCCACTCCACTACAATATATCCTACGACGTCAACGACGACGACGACGACGACGAGGACGACGACGACGACGACGACGACGACGACGACGACGACGACGACGGTCGACGACGACCACAACGACGACGACGACGACGAAAACGACGACGACGACGACGACGACGACGACGACGACAACGCCGACGGCGACTGCGACTGCGACGGCGGACGACGACGCACTGCGGATGCTCCGTGGGCGGAAAGCGAATGTGCTGCGCATGTCCGCTATAATCGCCGACGACGACGACGACGACGACGACGACGAAAACGACGACGACGACGACGACCACAACGACGACGACGACGACGACGACGAAAACGACAACGACGACGACGACGACGACGACGACGACGACCACAACGACGACGACGACGACGACGACGACGACGACGACGACGGCGCACTGCGGAGGTGTGCTGCGTAGGCCTGCTGTCGTCGACGACGACGACGACAGATGGACGGACGGACGGGCGGGCGGGCGGGCGGACGGACGGACGGACGACCACGACGACGACGACGACGACGGCGGCGACGACGATGACGGACCGACGACGACGACGACGACGAAGAAGACGACGACGATGACGGGCGACGACGACCACAACGACGACGACGACGACGACGCACTGCGGACGTGTGCTGCGTAGGCCCGCTGCCGTCGTCGTCGTCGTCGACGACGACGACGACGACGACGACGGCGGCGGCTGCGACGACGACGACGACAACGACGACGGCGACGACGACGACTGTGGCACGTCAGTAAACAGCCTCGGATGAGGAAAAAATGTCGCCTCGGAGGCATACGATCCTCATTGCGTCTTCTACACGAAAATCAGAATCGTTTTGAGGCTGCCGTGCATGAGGGTACACACTTCCCCCCGGCGGCGACAGCGACGAGCCCATGTGGCGCGTGATTACAAAATGTTTAGCGCCCCGCGGGGTCTATTCATCAGCCCCGGGGGGGAGGACATCATGTGAAAATTGCGTTCTCGTCGTCCTCCTCCTCCTCCTCCTCCTCTTTCCTCACTCCCTCCCTCCCTTCCTTCCTTCCTCCCTGCCTCCTTCCTGTCTCTTCGCCCATCTGCTCGTGTCTCCCTCTCCTCTAAAATCCTCCTTTTATCTCTCTCTCTTTTTGGTCACCGAGCGGACGGGGTCTCTCCGCAGAACGCCTGAAGACCCTATTTAAACATCCTCTGGCCTGCGAGCCGCAGCCCCCGACGCAGACGGGGAGAACGAACCTCTGCCGACCGTTCCCGGCCGCCTTCGCGTGGCCAGGCCACGTCGCAGTGCAGAGAGGAAGAGGAACGAGGCGGACAACGAGGAGGCGAGACAACTGGGAGGGCCGCGTGCCACGCGCCCCCCGCCTGCCCACCCCCCACGTACTGCTGGGGTACGGCCTGGCTCGGCTGACTGGCCGCGCAGTGCGGCCGAGCGCTGGCGAGCACGCCCCAGGCTGGCCCTCAAGCTCTCCTCCCGCTCCTTATCCCCTCGTCTCCCCTCCCTCCTGCCCCTCCTCCTCTGGGGGAACGAAAAGATACCGATACCGCGAGCCCCCAGACCTCTCCTGGGGTGCGTTCTGACCAGGGTGTTGAGGCGAATCCAGACGTGGTGACGACAGCAGGGTAGCGGTAGCGGTATCGGCACCCACCGCTCGGAAGAAGTGGGTAGAAGCATGAAGTAGGAAGGAGTTGAAAGTAGATTAGGGCTCCGCCCGCCCCCTGAAGAGGAGGCAAGAGGCGAAACCGCTCGGCTATTGAAATAGGAAGGCGCCTGTGGATTGGGACCTGGGATTCCAGAGAGACATCCTGTGATCCGCCCCCTCCCACGCCCTGTCGCCTCCCCCTCGGCCCCCCCACCCCCCACCAGCGTAGAGGCCTCCTAGATAGGGTCCGAGTAGATGGGGTCGGAGGATCGCCCCGCGTCGCCAATGCATCAGCGATGCATCGGCGATGCAGCGGCGGCGTCGGCGATGCATGAGCGCCATCGGTGTTGAGAAACTCTGGCGCCACATTGAGCCGCATCGGCGATGCATCGTCGATGCTGAGTGATCTTTCGACCCCATGTACTCGGACCTCATTTGGGAGGCCTAGAAAGCGACAGGAGAGCTCGCGGGCCCAGCTGGATGCGCCGGTCGTCGCCGAAGGCCCAGGTCCTGCGCGTAGCGTCGGTGCAGACGGTGTGGCGTCCGCCTGGCCCCGCTGCTCGGGTTTGTCGCCACTCCCGAAGGCATAACAACAATAACGATATCGACGACATCAATAACGACGACGACGACGACGACGACAACGACGACGACGGCGACAGAGGCAGCGACGACCACAGCGACGGCGACGACGGCAGCGACGGCCGAGGGAGGGGGAGGGCGTGGGAGGAGGCAGGCGGGAGGCGAGGAAGGCGATAGGAGCAGGGAGTGGGAAAGGGGAGGAAGGGGGGGAGCGAGGCGGCGCAGGCCGAAGAGGAGGCGGGTGGGGGAAGGAAAAAAAGCAGGACGACGACGTCGACGATGTCAACGACGATGATGAGGGTGACGACAATCAATATCATCATCATCATCATCATCATCATCATCATCATCATCATCATCATCAGCATCCTCATCATCATCATCATCATCAACATCCTCCTCCTCCTCCTCATCATCATCATCATCAGCATCATCATCATCATCATCAGCATCCTCATCATCATCATCATCATCATCATCATCATCCTCATCATCATCATCATCATCAGCATCAGCATCAGCATCAGCATCAGCATCAGCATCAGCATCGGCATCGGCATCATCATCATCAGCAGCAGCATCAGCATCATCAGCATCATCAGTTTCATCATCAGCATCAGCATCAGCATCAGCATCATAATCAGCATCATCATCAGCATCATCATCAGCATCAGCAGCAGCATCATCATCAGCATCATCATAATCATCGTCATCGTCATCGTCATCTTCATCGTCATCATCATCAGCATCATGGGCATCAGCACATTATCATCGTGATCATCATCAGCAGCATCAGCAGCAGCAGCAGCACCAGCAACACCAGCAGCAGCAGCTCCATGTAGATGACGACAATCACCACTGCTGGTGCTGCTAATGGTCCTGCTGCCACCGCGATCAGTGCCGCGACGCCCACAACGACCGCCAATACAACTACCACAGGCACTTTGAATGCCGCCAGGGCCAGAGCTGACGCAGCCGCTGCCGCTACCACTATCATCAACGTTCCCACTACTGACCTCGTCACCACTGGTGCTTGTTCGACTGCAATTACCGATCCCACTACCATTGCTTCTAAAACAGCTGCCTCCACCATATGTGTTGATACTACGTACCGCTGCCGCTGATACTACACGGCCGCTTTGCCCAGAATCCACTTTGTGTCACCCCGCCCCTCCGACGACGACGGAGACGATGGGCGCGGCCGTTTCCGGGAACTGTACCAGCACCGGCTCCTCCAGGCGGCTAGAACGGAAAGACGCCCCGCGACAGAAGCGTCTCGTCGTCGCTGTCCTCCTCCTCCCCCTCCTCCTTATCCTGATCATTCTTCTCCTCCCCCACTCCTCGCTACCCTCCTACTCCTTTTCGTCCTGCACCTCCTCTCCCTCGTGAGAACGATGGGAGGAAGGATGAGGAGGCGGACGACGACGGTGGTGATGAGATGGATGGAGAGGACGAGGGTGAGGAGGAACAGGTAGCGGACGAAGAGATGGTGGAGAAGGGAAAGGAATACGAACCTGCAATGGAGTTGTTGCAGTACCTGGAATAATCTTGGCGCTAAGAAGTGGCTGCGCGGCTAGAAGCAGACGCAGCAGCATTCGCCGCAGCAGCTGTGGCAACGAAAGAATGAGAAGGAAGAAAAAGAGAAGGAAGAAAAAAACATGATGAGGATGAGGATGATCCGCGGGACCCCCTTTGGGACGCAAGGCTGCGAAATATCACCAGCTTTCTGAGTCATTATCTTTCAAAGCCCTCTTCCCTTCGGGAGGGGTACCCTCCACCTCCCCTCACAAAGATTTTTGGGGGGGTCCACGAGGCGTCAGAAGGTCCTTCTACGCCCATGGTGGCTCAAAGTGGGCCTTCGATGTTCCAAGATGGCCTACAAGATGGCTCAAGATAGTCGAAAATGGCTCAAGATTGTTTCCAACATGCTCCAAGAGGTAAAACATAAAATACGGCTCCAAGATGGTTCCAAGTGCTCTCGAAACACCCTCAGGACCCCCGCCAAGAGGGCCCTGGAGCCTTCGGTGGAGCTCCTTATGGGACCACGAAACGCTGTCCTGGGCGGCGCTGACGCAGCGGACCCTGCCACTGGAGCCGTCGGTGGAACCCCCCAACGGGGCCACGAAACGCTGTCCTGGGTGGCGTTGGCGCATGCGGACCCTGCCTCTGGGGCTTTCGGCGGAGCTCCCTATGGGGCCACGAAACGCTGCCCTGGGTGGCATTGACGCACGCGGGCCCTGTCACTGGAGACTTCAGTGGGGCTCCCTCGGGGGCCAGAAAAGGCTGCTTTGGGCGGCGCTGACGCATGCGAACCCTGCCACTGGAGCCTTCGGTGGAGCTCCCTGTGCGGCCACGAAACGCTGTCCTGGGAGGCGTTGACGCATGCGGACCCTGCCACTGGAGCCTTCGGTGGAGCTCACTGTGGGCACACGAAAACGCTGTCCTGGGCGGCGTTGACGCGTGCAGACCCTGCCACTGGAGCCTTCGGTGGAGCTCCCTGTGGGGCCACGAAACGCTGTCCTGGGTGGCGTTGGCGCATGCGGACCCTGCCACTGTGGCCTTCGGTGGAGCTCCCTGTGGGGCCAAGAACCGTGTGAGGGGTGTGCCTAAATGGGTGGCGTTGACGCATGCGGACCCTGCCACTGGGGCCGTCGGTGAAGCTCCCTGTGGGGCCACAAACCGTGTAAGGGGTGTGCCTAAATGGGTGGCTCTGACGCGTGCGGACCCTGCCACTGGACCCTTCGGTGGAGCTCCCTGTGGGGTCACGAACTGGGGAGGAGGAGGAGGTGGTGGTGGAGGAGGAGGAGGAGGAGGAGGAGAAGGAGGAGGAGGGGGAGGAGGAGGAGGAGGAGGAGGAGGAGGAGGAGGAGGAGAGGAGACGTGGGGCGATGTCTCTTCAAAACGAGGACCCAACACCACAGGACGGTTGGGAAAAAAACGATCACGTCAGGGCTTGGGTTCGGGCGGGGGGGGAAAGTTAGAAGGTCGAGTTCGGAAACCAAGGAAAACAAGAGGTCGAAACAAGTTCGAAATGTCAGGGATAGACCGAGAACAGCTCAAATGTGTCAGCAGATGTGGGATACAGTTCGAACAAAAAGCTCGACACAAGTTCGAACTAATTTTCAAAGTTCGGAAAAATGGAAAACATCGAACAAAAGTTCGGAAAGAGTTCGTAACTAATTCGGGAGTCCGGGAAAAAAATCGAAACCAAGCTTCCTCCAGACTCCAGGGTTCTCGCAACTTCGAACTTCAATGTTCTAAAACATTGGCCTCGAACTTTTTGCGTCCTTTGACTCTTTCAGAATAGGGGCCGTTTGCAACCCCTCAGCCAATTACAACCCTGGGCCCGAAACAGCCTCCAGAGGAGGCTCGCCCGATGGATAGCGGTTCTGACTCACCGTGTCGTCGGCGCCGCCGCTGCGGCCGCGGTGCCGCTGCCGTCGTCGTCGTCGTCACCACCGCCGTGCTGGCCGCCGCCACCGTCATCATCGTCGTCGGCCGCAGCGGCGTCGGCGTCGGCGTCGCCGCCGTCGGCATCGCCGTTGGCGCCGCGAGGTCCGGCGGCGGCGCGTCCGCCGCAGCGGCTCCTCAACCTCCATGCGCTGCCGCTCCTCCAGCGCGCCCATGGGGCCCTGGCGCTCGTCGTCGTCATCGTCGTCATCCTCTGCCCCCTCCTCGCCCTCCTAGCTCATCTTTCCCCCTCCTCCTCGCCATCCTCCATGTGATCTCCACCTTTCTTTTTCTCTCTCTCTCTCTCTCTCTCTTTCTCCCTTTCTCTCTCTTTCTTTCTCTCTCTCTCTTTCTCTCTGTTTTTCTCTTTCTCTTTCTCTCTCTCTCTCTCTTGCTCTCTTTGTCTCTCCCTCCACCTATTTCTCTCTCTCTCTCTCTTTCTCTCTCTCTCTCTGTTGTTCTCTTTCTCTCTCTCTCTCTCTTTCTCTCTCCCTCCACCTATCTCTCTCTCTCTCGTTAAATGCTGTTATCTCTTTCTCTCTATATCAATGTGCCCCTCTCTAAAGGTTGCATATGAATACGAACATATCTAGAATACCAGAGAAAATCGAAACAAAGTCTTTCTAGGGCTATAGTGCTATGGGGATTGGGAACAAGGGCTCTGGGGCTATGGGGCTATAGCGCTATGAAACCATAGGACTATAAGGCCATAGGGCTGTAGGTCTTCAGGACTGTAGGGCTAGAAGGCTATGGGGCCATCGGGCTAAAGGGCTGTGGGGCTATAGGACTACAGGCCTATAGGGCGATCGTGCTATAGAGCTATAGGACTCTAGGGCGATAGGGCTATAGGGCTATCAGGCTATAAGGGTATAGCGCTATAGGGCTATAGGGCTACTGGGCTATAGGGCTATAGGACAATAGGGCTATAGGGCTATGAGGCTATAGAGCTAGAGGACTGTAGGGCTATGGGGCTATAGGGTTACTGGACTATCGGACTATAGGGCTATAGGGCTACAGGGTTGTAGGGCTTTAAGGCTATAGGGCTATAGGGCTATAGGGCTATTGGGTTATTGGGCTATTGAGCTATGGGGCTATTGGGCTATAGGGCTCTGGGGCTATGAGGCTACTGGCCTATAGGGCTATAGGGTTATGGGGCTGTAGGGCCATTGGGCTATAGGCATATAGGGCTATAGGGCTATAGAGCTGTAGAGCTCTAGGGCGATAGGGCTATAGGGCTATAAGGCAATTGGGCTATTTGGCTATAAGCCTATAGGGCTATAGGGCTATGGGGCTATGGGGCTATAGGGCGAATGGGCTATAAGGCTATAGGGGTATAGGGTTATAGGGCTATAGGGATACAGGGCTATGAGGCTAAAGGGCTATAGAGCTCTGGGGCTATAGGGCTATGAGGCTATAGAGCTATAGGACTATAGGGCTATGGGGCTATAGGGCTATTCAGCTATGGGGCTATGGGGCTATAGGGCTATAGGGCTATAAGGCTATAGGGCTATAAGGCTATAGGGCTATAAGGCACTGGGGCACCTTGGCACCCGGGCACCCCGGCACCTGGGCACCAGGGCACCCGGGAGGGCCGAGGAAATCTGCGACAAAGCTCACCGAACCATATGAATCCGCTAGGACCCCTACAGAGGCAAGCTCTGATTGGAGAATGTATACCCCTCTCTGTATGTTGTATATGAATGTATATGCGTATACCGCTATACGTTTGCATATGTGTATGTATATGTATATGTATATGTATATGTATATGTGTACGTATTTGCATATGCATATGTATACGTATATGTATGTGCGGATGTAACTGTAAATGTAAATGTAAATGTATGTGTATGTGTATGTGTATGTGTATGTGCAGCTGTAAATGCATATGTATGTGTATATGTGCGTGTATGGATATGCATATGTATATGTAACTGTATGTAAATGTATATGTACATGTAGATGTATGTGTATAAGTATGTGTATATGTATGTGGATATGTATGTGCATGTGCATGTGTAGATGTATGTGTATGTGTATATATGTGCATATTTATGTATACATATGCTATAGTCACGCGAGGGGTTCGCGCGCTTAGGCTCTAGCACGCTCTAGTTGCAGTCAAAAGTGTGCTGTATTGGAGGACATAGATTGTCGCACGGCTCGTGCCCTCAGGGAGCTCCACCTGCGGCCCCAGAGACAAGCGTGGCTAGCGTTCCCCAGTCGTTGTCGGCGCACTCCTCACAGGGATCGCGCCCCACAGGGAGCTCCACCTACATCTCCAGAGCCAAGGCTGGCATAGTGGCACGCCCCTCACGCGGACCGTGCCTCGCAAAGAGCTGCATTTGCGGCACCAGGGTGAGGTTTCATAGCGTCGCCCCGCGCACTTCAGCACACCTCTCACACGGATCGTGGCCCGCAAGGGGTTCCACCGACGGCCCTGGACCCACCACCTAAAGGCCCAGAAGCAAGGTTCGTTCAGCGCTGCTCCCCCGCCCATGTCGGCCGACCCGTCACGCGAACCATGCCCCAGAGGGAGCTCCACCTATGGCACCACTGGGCAGCGAACATGCCTCGCATGGGCCGTGCCTGGAGGAGTTCCACCTGTAGCCTCAGTGGGGACATTCGCGCGAGGGTACGCGAATTACCCAACATACCCTTACAACAATGTCAAGAATTCAGCACACCCGCACACGCGTGCTCCGCAGCAGCCATCTTGCCGCATTGGCCCGCGGCGCACACTGTACAAATTGCTTGATTGTCTATGGCCTTCTGTCCACACCGCCACCGTACCTGGGTTTGGGGCCAGAGAATCCTTGGATACCTATAATTCAAAGTATCTTGGCATTCGGCATGCTTCTCGGGCGCCTCGTGGAGCGAGTGTTGAAGCATCTTGTGGCCTCATGTGGGCAATGTGGGGGCCTCTTGGGGTATCTTACGTGGCCCTTGGGAGCCTCTTGGGTGCCTGCTGCGGCTTCGGGGGCCCGTTCGTGGCGGAAGGCACGAAATGTCAGTTGGAATTCACCCTGTTGGACTCCTCTCGGGGCCCTATTGGGCCATCTTGGGCGCCTCTTGGACCGTCTTGGGGCTCTATTCGGCCGTCTTGGGGCTCTTTTGGAGGCCTCTTGGACCGTCTTGGGGCGATCTGTGGGGCCTCTTGGGCCGTTTTCGAACCTGTTGAAACCCAAAAGGCGAAAATGCCCCGCCCACCCAAAAAAATGCACCGTCGCCCTAAGGGATGAACAATTTTGGCCTCCTGGGGCCCTCTCGGAGCCCATCATGGAGCATTCGACGTCTTCGGGGCCTCTTGAACCGTTTCGAACCATTATTCTCGGGAGCGGCCAAGAGGGGGGTGTCCAAGAGGGGGGGGTGCAAATCATGACTGGCGGCATGTGCGCGGCCCAGAGGGGGGGCCAGGAACGTAATGAAATAAGAAGAGGCGCCATAAAATCTGGGGAAAAATCATGGCCCGCGCCATGAAATTCCCTCCCCCCTAGTCATCACCCCCCTCTTTTCCGCCCCCGAATTATTCGGGCGTCTTCGGCCCTGGTCGCTCTTTGGTGACCTCCGGGGGGGCCCCGAGGCGAGCGAGGCGAGCGCCAGGTTGCCGCTCCGCGCGGGGCCGCGGGAGCGCTCTCCATGAAGGCGACGGCGGTGGGGCCGTAGCCCCTCATATGAGGTAGTCCTTCTTGAAATACTCCTCCTCCTCCTCCTCCTCCTCCTCCTCCTCCTCCTCCTCCTCCTCCTCCTCGTCCTCATCCTCCTCCTCCTCCTCCTCCTCCTCCTCCCAATAACTACGGAGGGTGGTATCCGGAATAACTACGTGTGCTCAGCAACCACAGACACCAAACTTCCACGACATGAACCAACATGCCACTGAACAGCTGATGTTTCAAACGTGCGCTTCCAAAGACCCACTCTTGCCGTCGTACGGGCGTCTGGGTACAATCCGGACACAACGCGAACATACGTGCAAATATTTGCAGCGAGTTCTGCCGACGCTGCAATGTATTCGGGAAAGCTCTTTTGCATCCACTACGCAAGTCCGACACAAATCGCACACATGATCGTTCTCGTGCTGGTTTCGCCAACACTGGTTTAGCTTGTGCATCCTATGGTGACCTCGCGGGCAGCGGTGGGAAAAACCCAACACCTTATTGAACGATATGCTTTCTTGGTCTGCTTCTGCCATTCCGTGTGATTCGCATGCCGCCCTCCGAATTTCCGAAACCCGAACACCCGCAGTATAGCCACGCACGTTTCTCTGAACTTTCTGTGCTGCCTCCTGCGGTTGTTCCTCAAAATGTGGCTCCAACGGCTGCCATACACCATTGTGCAAAATGTCGCAAACAGGATCGCTTGGGACTCCGGGAGGCCCCGGAAGGGGTCTAACATGTCGTGGGGGGAAACATGGCAGGGTATCCCGGCCAGGGCCCTGGCCGCCCCACCGTACGCCAGCGTATACGCAGGGTGTCTGGGTGCCCTCACCGAGCCCCCGTCTCCCTGTCTGCCCCGTACCCTGCGTTCTCACTCTTTCCGATGCGAACCGTGCGCAGAGACTTCGAAATACCTGAAGGGTGCTGAAGAACCTGCTTCTCCTCCTCCCTCTGCCTTCCTCCTCCTCATCACCACTAACATTCACTGGGTGGTGCGATTCGGTTACAGCCATCTCCACTGAAGTAGTGACCCACACTGGTCTTCAGCCTCTCTTCGGCAGCTTTGATGCCTCATTGGGGGCCTATGTGGCCGTCTTGGGGCGATCTTAAGGGAGCAGTTGGGTCGTCTTGGACGCTGTGAAAACCAACATGGTGGATGTGTTAAACATTACGTTTTCCGCAGGGATGGAACGATTGGGGCCTCTTGGGGCGCTCTTGGGAGGCCTCTCGATCTAAGAGCGTCTTGGAGATCTCTGGAGCCGCCGGGAGGTTATCTTGAGCGGTCCTGGGGCGCCTTTGGAGCGCTGTTGGGTGCTCTTGGCGGCCTCTCGGGCAATCTAGAAGCCATCGTGGGCGCTTTTAGAGCGCCCCAAGGGCTGTCTTGAGCGGCCCGGGAGCGGCTCAGGAGGCCCCAGGGAGAGTGAACCCAGATTGGGGGTTCGAGGCCGTGTTTTCTGGGCTCCAAGTTCCTTCCCCAGGTATATGTATGTGTCTACATACATCCATACCTACCTACCTACCTACCT